TTCTTAGTGCCTCGGTTATTTTTCATGGGATGTAACTTGAGCTGGGTAGTAGTTTTTTTTATTTTTACTTTTAGAGTAGTATGTAGGAAATAAAAGAGAAGAACTGATGTGATTTGCATCCTTTGACTTGTTTGATGGTTGCATACTTAGGTTCTGGCATGCGTTTCACGTTCCCTTAGTTTTAATATATGATGATGCCTTGGTAAAAATGAATAGCATGTGGTATAACTCCTATGTCTCGGTTACTTGACTTGTGTTCACTTTGTACTTTATGCTTAATATATCTCTTGGCTTTGTGAATACTTGTTTGAGTAAGAGTCCAAATGAAAATGTCCTTAGTGTGTCATGTGCTATGTGTGAAGTGAGTTCTTTGTATAGTCCATGTTATTGCATTTGAGTCTAGAACTTGCGAAATATGAATTAAAACCAAATTCTAGGTGTTGCTTAGTTTGAAAAGTGATGTTAGGCTTTCCTTGATCTTTTTGAGTTTTGTTGCTTATCACAAATAAAATCACCCCTAGTTACCCTTTTGAGCCTATAAACCTTTCTTTTGGCACCCGCATTACAAGTCTATCCCCTTTTATTCTTAATTGAATCATTTTGATCCTTAGACCTCTTAAAGCACTTGAATTACAAAGAAAGCGCTAGAAAGAAGTAATGAGGAAACTTGGGGTAGCTTTTGAGTGGAACCAATAGAAGGAAGAAATATGCACTTGTGCTTAAAATAAAATCCACTAGCGGCAAGGCAAAAATACAAACAAAAAAAAGAAAAACAAAAGAAGAAGAATTGAATAAATAAAGGTTTCTTATTTTTGCTAGTGGATGTGATATGAAGTAGTACGTAAAGAAGAAGGAAAAATATTCTGGGGTGAGCTATCTTGTGATGATTGAAGTGGATTGAATGAATTACGCTTAAAATTGAATACGCCATGTATTAAAGTGCTTAGGAGGGTTAGCTACTATATCCCAAATATATCCTACCTGTCCCTTAGCCCATATTACAATCATAGAAAGTCCTAGTTGATTTCGGATCGAGCGGGTCTACATTAGTAGAGGTTTACGTAATGGGCAAGCTTATGGTACCTTTTTGTATATGTGACTTCTTGATAACGACTAGGTCGGGAATCCAAACTAGAGTAAGAATTTGAAAAGTAAATGCGGAAGTAATAACAATAAGAAAGTGAACAACTAGAACTAGAGGGCAGAAAATAAAGGATATGGAAAAATTCAAGGAATGAATTTCAAGAACTTCCAAGAACGCAAGTTCTATAGCCTTGACAAGATCAAAGCAACAACGTCTTGATTTATTGAAGAACTCAAACGCCTTTACTTAAAAGCAAATCAAAATAATAGATTCAGATCTTAACCGCTTTACGAGTAACTTGAGACAACAATTAATAACTAGTATTAATCGCCTTCTAAGAATACCACAAAGGAATTAAGGATATCACAATAGGAAGTAATCTTACTACCTTGAACTATGAACTAGTAAAGGTTGAAAGATAAATCTCAAAGCACAAGTAACAACGGTTAAAAAGAACTCTCAAAGTATGATATACTTAATCAATAATGAAGTGTCTCAATGAATGAGAAGAACTCCTTATTTATAGGAGTACTAAGGCATAAAAAGTCCTTAAAATTAGGTAGGATGGCTGCTAAGGCATAAAAAGTCATTACAATTAGGTAGGGTGGTTGCTAAGAAGTAAGAAAAGTCATTAAAATTAGCTAGGGGGTGGCCAAATCCCTTTGGGACAGATTTGGACCTTAAAACTACTAGTTTGAGCCATTGGTTTGGACTCTAATTGAGATCCTTTTGAAACACCCCCTTTTGGACCTCTTTTAAGCTCATTTTGAGCCCCTTTGGTAGACTTCAAGGGCTAATTTGGTGGCCCAATCTTCCTCCTCTTGAACTTCAATTTGAATCACCAAATAATTGTAAAACTTGAATAATTCACCTACTTTGGGCTTGAGCTCTTCCTCTACAATTAAAAGTTTGTTTATTTTCCATTGAAGTCTAGCAATCTTAGTCTGCAACTCTTTAGCTTGAGATATTGTAAATGGCCTTTGAGCTTCCAAAACTCTATCCTTGTCCTTGATGCTATCACTTCTTTGAGAAAGTGAGTTCTTTTTCTTCATATGTGTGAGTCCTTAAATTATATTTGATCATGTGATTTGGATATGTGAACTGCTTATTCATTTGTTTTAGTGTGAGGGCACATGATTTCACAAAGGATAGGTAACATTATTAGACTTCTCTATTATATTAAGTATTCAAGCCTTGGTTGCATTGTGACATTGAGTTAGTTATCGATGGTAGGATTGTTATAGCCATGTTGTTCCTATGTTTGACATTTTGAAATTGGGCATAAGTACGGAAAGTGTATTTTGAATGCATATGCTAAAGTTTAATTGTTGCTATCAACCATGGTCATAGGTGTAGTGTGTTATGAATGTGTGGGTTGTTGGGTCCTTGAAGAGGAAGTGTTTAGTTGGTTGACTCGAGGGCGAGCAACATTTTAAGTGTGGGGTGTTGATGTCGTGCTATAATTTCATATATTTAGACGTTATTTGCCCTACTTTCTTATTGTTTGGATGCTAATTTGTGCGGCAATTGAGCTTAATAAAGCTTATTTCACGTGTAGGAATGTTTGGACATGAATTGGAGGAATGTTGCACGAAATGGTACCTCAGAGCCTCAAAATGGAGTAATAAAAGAAGACGTGCAAAGCGATGAAAAGTCATGGCCAAAGATAGTGCAAGACATTGTCCAGGGCACTATCATTGGCACCCCACACAGTGCCTCGCGCAGAAACATTGGCGCCCCAGACAGTGCCCCGCGCAGAAACATTGGTGCCTCTGACAGTGCCTCGCGCTGACACTGCTATCCGAGCCAATTATATTTCCTCACTATTTTTGGACATGTATAGTTCTTCCCCAACCCTATAAATACCTCTTAAAGTTAGTTTTTCTAGGGTAAGGCATTATTGGAGAGGCAAAAGACTACTGAATACTCTGGAGCACGAATCACAAGAGTTTTTCTCTCCGTTCTTCTTTAATTTGTAGTTTAATGCTTTTGAATATTACTATGATTGTTTATACAATTATGAGTAGCTAAACTCTCTAATGTAGTGTTTAATGGAACCTATTGAATGATGAATTCTTGTTAAGTTTTAATATAATTTTGCCTTAGAATATCCCTACTTGTTCAACTACGTGTTTATCGCTGTTGATTGAATGTCCATCAATTGACTATGTCTATTTATTATGTATTGCTTGAGAAAGAGTGCATATTTAGGTTATTGTCGAACAACATCATTCCCAAGGTATATGAGAGATCAATATGGCGAGTTTAAAAGCTGAATTAGAGATAACAAAATATTGACGTGATCAAAGTGAGCGGTGACAAAGTACGAGCTAGCGTAATTCGAGAGAATATGACTAGTAAATTATTGTAGTTGCTCGAGAGAGAATTACGATAAGTCGAGTGCTCATGATCAGTAGAGAATACTTAGGCGAAATTGTAGGAGATGTAGCGAGAAGGATTCCGACAATTGGGAAAATCATAACTCTCGGCTTTCCCAATTTTGTCTCCAACTCTTAATATCCATATTTATTAATTTAGTACTTTAATTTGTTAGTTAATTAGTTAGACATAAGAATCTTAATATTTATAACTTTGAAATTGTTTGAACTTGTCTTTTTAGTGATATTGAACAATTATAATAAAATCTTAGTTCTCTGTGGGATTCGATTCCGGACTTTTAGACCGGATTATATTTGCAGCGACCGCTTATGCTTTTTAGAACTAGAGTTGGACGTGATCATTCTTTAATCACTAATTTTTAGTGCAAATTTCTATTAGTTTAAATTATGTTTTTGTGGTCACCGGATACTTGACTAATTAGAATTTAGTAATTTGCTTAAATTCATTTTTTTCTCTCTATAATGATGTCATCTAGGTCAGCTATTGCTCTAACAAGCCGCATGTCAATTAATTTACGAGCATACTACGTCGTATCAACATTGGACGTCAGGTAACTTTGCCCGTCAAAGATTAGAAAAATGATTAATTCACCAAGTGCTGCTTCTATTGGAATTCTCAGTCTTAGTTCACAACATTGTCATTTTAGCTATTTGACAACAGAGGTGGTGCCAATATTTAAAGTTATTAGGGTTCGATATTCTAGTCTTTTATGTTATTGGGTTTCAAAGTAAAAATTTATACGTATTCAATAAATTTTTTAAGATAAATATACAGTTTGCACTAATGCTACTAGGTTCGGCCGAATCTATTAACAAAGCTCTAGCTCCTCCCCAGATTGACGGCCACTTACTTGACGTTGAAACCATTTAAAATACCAGAAGTAACTTCATGTACTTCTGCAATTTTAACGTGCCTCTCTTCAGGTGTAGACCAACTAAATCCTACTTTTATCTCCAAGAAAGCGACGCCTAAACAAGTAGTTAGTAATTTATTATTCCGTTGCTGTTGATTCCGAACCTACTCCATTTTAAATTTGTAACTTCTTGACTGTAATGGCTTTGGTGGGCGCACAAGGAATTAAAAAGTAAAGGGATCTTGACTCTTGAGCCCCAAGAAATGGCGTCGAAATGTGCCACCTACTAATCATTTTTCTGTTTGAATTCTAAAGATAACTAAACTTTACTTTTGTAATATACTCCCCGTGTCCAAATTTCTGCGGCCGTATTCGAATTTCAAGAGCCAAACTTTTTAATTTTGACCGTAAATACAGACATAAAATCTTTATATTTTTTGGAAAAAAAAAAAAATACTACACAACAAGTACTATAAATTATACTCCAAATTTAACAATTTAAAATATTTAAAAGGCATACGATCAAATTGCAATTAAAAAAAAATTCTTTTGACTCTTGAAATTGGGATGGAAAGTGTGGAAACTCCGATGTTCGATATCTGCTGATGCAAGAAAAGTCTTAATTAACATAAAGTTTACTTGGGAGTTGGGACTCTACTTAAAGGACCAACTACAAGCAGAAAATTAACAGCTGAATGAATAATAATATTAAGAAAAATGGCTGAGGAAAACAAAGTAATTCTACATGGAACATGGGGTAGCCTTTTTGTTAAGAGAGTAGAACTGGCTCTCAAAATCAAAGGCATACCTTATGAGTATGTTGAAGAAGATTTGAGCAACAAGAGTCCCCAGCTGCTCAAGTACAATCCTGTTCTCAAGAAGGTCCCTGTACTTGTTCACAATGGTAAACCTGTTTCAGAGTCGCTCGTCATTCTTGAATACATCGATGAAACCTGGAAGACCGGACCTAGAATCTTGCCAGAAGATCCCTATGAAAGAGCCATAGTTCGTTTCTGGGCTAATTACATTGATCAGGTTAGTCATGTTGAACTATTTGACCACTTCATACTTACAGATACATACAATTTGTTTCCTAACTTTGCTCTAATATGTACAGCATCTTATAGCCAGCACGGCTAAGCTGTGGAAGTCAAGTGGAGAAGAACAAGAGAAGGCTCAAGAGGAAGTGTTGGAAAAAATAAGAATTGTGGAAGAGGGAAATCCTGAAATCCATGGAAATGAATTGGGGCTCTTACAAATCTTGCTGGTTACAACATTTGGATCTCATAAAGCATATGAAGAGGTCCTTGGTGTGAAGATTTTGGTTCCAGAAAACACCCCACTACTTTATTCATGTGTCACAAGTTTAAACGAGTTGACACTGGTGAAACAAATTTGTTCTCCTCATGATATGCTTGTGTCAAAGCTCAAAATCTATAGGCAAAATGCCTTAAAATCCACCACCCGCTGAGCTACTGATTTTCTGGAAGAAATACTTGTGAAACATGTCTGCTGTTTTTTTTATTGTTACATAGGGGGAGGGGAATAGTGAGAATTATTGAATCTGCACCAACTGCGTGTTAGTGGTAACCGCAGTTCAATTAAATACTATTCTAAATAATTCCCAGCCACAGCGTCAGTCGTGTGGATTCTGCTTGTAATAAGGTCTGTGACCACGCTTGAGATCATTTGTGAAATGTAATATTTCAAATTTCTGAAACCATGACATCTTTCAACTTCTAGTTTATCATCAATTGCAACAAATGAAGAACCCCCTTTTGATAATTTGTATCGAGATGAGGCAGTAATAATTTGTTTCACCACCTAACAGTATAACGATAAATTATGATTGTAATTCAAGATAAAGGGTTAAAAAGAGAATCAACAGCCTCAAGACACAAAACTAAAAAAGTCATACTCCAATACCAATTCATCCGTCATTCACTACAAACATTTTCTCTCTATCTTCAATACATCAGCAATTAATTAACAATATGATTCAGATTTCAAATATGATCCCATCTTGGTTGGTTTGCGGGTTTGGGTGACTGTACTGAGATTTTCTCGGCACGGAAAATAGAATTATATGGAAGATTGACAAAGGAACGTGACACATGTTAGACCAAAAAATATAACTTTTGGTTTAAATAATTAAATTTATGTGATAATAGTTTAAACCTAGTTAATAATAATATTTCTAGATGTGACTTCCGAAAGCGTGATTAGCATCGAATAGATCTGGTAGAAAAATTATAACAGTATGCAATAACTATTCCAAAAAGTATGAGCTATAATGTATCATTTAATAATAATAAATGACATTTAAGTAAATATGAGGAGTGATTTACCCAATAAAGGATGAGCTAGATGGTTGTTCCTCCTAACAATGATGAGTGACAGACAAAACTTTTAATGTTCGAATTCTTCTCGAATATGATGGAAAGTATGGAATAATATAGACAGGAATCTTGATTAAAATGTAGTGTTAGTATCTTAGCGAGAGAAAGAATCTTTTGTCAAAGTCGGTTCTTACAAATGAGTATCGCATGACCCGTATCATTGTCTCTTTTTCTATTTACATGAGACATTTTCCTAATAAACCCTAATAGTACAAGTGCATAGAATATTCACTAGAATATTCTCTTTAATATCCTATTTCGAAAACTAGCCGTTATAGCTTCATCAATGGTGCTCGACCTCGACCACTATTGACATTTCAACCACGGCTCTCGTCAACTCTTCGACTATGAGTCTCGTTGCTTCCTGGTCTACCTCGACTAACGACGGCTCGCGAATTCTTTCTTTAGCGTTATCTTATCTTAAATATTTTAGGGCAGATTTTGACCCATATAGTTAGTCCCTCCGCTTATTGAGGTCGGCCTTAGGCGGGCTTGATGAGCGGATTATGTTCATTGCGGCCAAAACAATTGGACGAGTTGATCAGGTCGTGATGACTAAGGCGAGCTGGCAACATGGCCCTTCATGAGCCGCAAAATTTAGAGTTGTGCCGTTCATGAATCAAGGTGACGTCACGACCTCGTGCATCATCATGACGCGTATTCCCGATGCGTCGCATTATTTTGCGTGGGTCTCCTAATTGGTCCTGCCGCTTCGATTTCGATGCCATGTAATGATGAGCCAATTTCTCAATTTTGATGCCTGAATTCTTATAAATAGGGATGTGAGGGTGTAATCCCAAATTTTACAACTTTCCTGTATATCGAAACCCTATATCTGCTTCTTCCTTTTCCATTGTTGTGCATCTTTTCGTTTTGTTCTCGCAATTCTTATCGTTTTTAACACCCCGTTGTTTGATTCCTTCCCCTCTTTCACTAAAAATATGTCTAAGGTACCTTTTAGGTCCAATGAGGGAAGTGACCAGGTCCCTCTAGCGATTCTTCTTCCTTCTCATGCTGAGAACGTTCCCACTGTTGTTGAGGACGGAAGCTTTTCGACTTTGGAAGAGATAGTTCCTCATAACCCCGATGTTAGGTCTGATTTTTCGAAACCGCCTGAAGCCGAACCCGGCACCTTTAAGTCGGCGATGAAGGAAGATGATTTGTTAGAGCTCAAGGTGAAATACGGCCTTCCTGATCACATCGAGTTGATCCCTACCAGGTGGGATGCAGTGCAGTACCACCGTCTTGGGTATTGCGCATTCTACGCCTATTCCTTTCACGTCGGCTACACTCCTTCTCTCCTCCCACTGCGGAAGAATTCTGTCGCTTCTACGGCATTTTATCGGCTCAACTCGCAACGTATGTCTACAAGCTCATAAGGATGCTTACCAAGTTTGCGGAGTTAGCCGGGGTCGAGATCACAATTCGACACCTGATGCACCTGTTCACCCCTAGCTTGTATAAGGGGGCGATATTGAACCTTCGCCACCGAGGAGGCACGTGCCTAGTGGTGAAGATGGACGACAAGGCTAATCGCTAGTTCTTGCTCAACTTTTTGCTTCGTTAGAACTAAGGACGTGGTGGCCAACGTCAATAGCTTCCCTGAACCATGGAATTGCACTCGTAAGCACCTCACTCCCTTGCGTGTAGGTACTTGGTTTATTTTACTTAGTTGTGGATTCTAACCTCTCGTTCTTTTCTTACGCAGCCAAGACCGCGCCTCCTCCTTTGGTCAAGGACATTTATGGTTGGGTCGGTCGGCTTCTCCCTCACATCGCAGGAATTCGTGATTGGCTGGGCTTCTTTAAGAGATTTGGGCCGGCTCCCCCCTTGACTGGTAAGTTACTCTCGTCTTTGTCATGTTAGTTATTTCTCTTTTGTGGTTTGTTTTGGCTGACTTTCTTATCCCTTTGTACTTATCTTAATTTGAGCTAGGGGGTCCTCGAGGAGGTCAAGGGCTCCCGCACCTACATTCCGTAAGAGGAAAGCAGCTGCCTCTTCGACTCCTACCCTTTCTATGACCGCGACTTATTCTGCTCTCTCCTCGATCCCGCCCGCTACTGCTTCAGCATCAATTCCTTCTTTATCTACGGAGACTTCGGTTGCGGAGTCTTCGACTTCTCCCTTGCACCGTCTCATAGATGAGAAAGAGGAGTCATTTCCAGTGATGGGGACTTGATGCCCCATAAAAGGAGATCAGAGGACGTTGGCGACGGGGTTGCCCGGACCGTTGGCTCGGTGATGGGTGATTTTACACTTCGTGAGACAGCGACTATTATCAATGAAGTTGATGTAGGGCCGTAGTCTGAGATTCCGAGGTCGGCAGAGGCCGACGAGGGTGTGTCTCTCCCTTCTACGATGACGGCAAGTTGAAGGGCCGACCACTAGGGCTTCTGACACTTCACGACAAGAGGAGTTGTCGAAATAGCAGCCACCTGATGATACTTCTTTGCCGGCCAATGGGAGAGGCAAAAGCGTTGCCAAAGAAGGCTATGAGACGGGTTAAAACATTGATGTTGCTGACCTGAATATGATGGAGGAAGGGTTTACCCAGCTCGAGGTGAAGCTGGAGGGGTCTACGAGGACCATTGCTATCCCCATGGATCGTGATCTGTTGAAAAATACGGAGAACATAATTCTTGCCCTCGGCCCTCTTTGCTCCGACATAGAGGGTGAAACCCTCAAAGAGCTGGACGATGTTACCTTGTCGAGGATCATAGTCGGCCTTGCTCTCAGGGTGAGTATTTTATGGCTTCGTCTTTCTGTCTGTTTTTTGTGTTTAGTGTTTTGCCTTTGTAAGTAGAGGCATTCTCATTTCTGCTTTCCTTCTTTTTCTTTTTTTGACTGCAGACCATGATTTTGGAGATTGAAAGTGCCCGAAGGGAGGAGAACCGTAAGGAAATATTTTAAGGTTGAAACGCAAATATTTCGAGTACCGCGGCAAATACCGGGAGTTTCACAGGCGGTTTGGTGAGGGAGGCAATTTGCAGGCCCATCGTGATGAATTGAAGGAGTAGGATGACGAGCTGGTGAGAGTCATCGAGAAGTGTAGTGCCCTTGAGAGGACGTTGAGAAGTAGGGAAGAAGAGCTCGAAGTCAGCAGATCCATAGAGGCCCAATGTGGCGACCTTCAGACGCAAGTGGTCGAGCTGCGTAGGCAATTAGAGGATTGTCGGCTTTAGGTGGAGTTCCTTACTGGCGAAATCACTGAGAAAGTGAGAGAGTTGGAGAAAGCTGAGGCGGCGCGGTCAGAGGCTCTGAATAAGGCGGAGTCCCTTGAGGTGGTGATTCTAACTCTCCGTTCTGAGCGGGATAATGACCTAGTGACGACCAGGCTTAAGGAAGAACGGCTCGATGAAAGGGTGGGGGAGTTGGAAAAAGAGGACTATGTTCTTAACGACCGAGTGGTCTCCTTGGAGGCCGAGAATGCCCAATTGCTGGCACAACCGTCCTCTTCTCGTATCTCAGATTTTTCCAACATTCCTCAGGACTTATATGATGAGTGGATTCACGCTGAGGCCCAGTTAGATATCTTTTAAGATCTGCATGCGGCGAGGTCCATTTCTAATGAGGTCCTTGAAGGCATTTGTGTGAAGGCTCGCGAGGCCCGGCTTGCTTTTGGGTATGATCCTGCAACACCTGAGGTCGGCGACGGTGATGACAAAGGTGTGGATCAACTTAAGGAGGTTGCATGGTACGATACCGCATACCCGGAGGGCGAATGCGACGGTGGCAAGGGTGTTTGTGGCCAAGGCGGTGACGGAGCAGAGGATCATGGTGGTGGTGCTCAGTAGTCTTTTCTCTTTCTCTTTTTTGTAAGATTTTGTGCATTTTTGGAGGCATCTTCATGAGCCTTTGTAAGAAATATTTTAAGTATGAAATGCCAAATTTGTTCTCTGCATCTGTTTCTTTTCTTGTGGTTTTCTTTTTGTACTTGTATGTTTTTTTTCTTCTGTTGCTTGTGCATCGGAATGTAGCCGAGGTCGTCGACTTGTTTGGTTGTGATCTTTCTTTAGATTGCGCCCGAGGGCTGGTATGTGTTTATTCAAACGAGGTTGAACATAACTTTTCGTTTAATATTGCGGCCAAGGGCCCATAGGTGTTAGTTCGAGCAAGGTCGAACATAGACTGTATTTAATTATGGTCGAGGGCTGGTAGGTGTTAGTTCGAGCAAGGTCAAACATAACCTGCATTTAATTATGGCCAAGGGATGGTATATGTTAGTTCGAGCAAGATCGAGCATAACCTATATTTACTTATGGCCGAGGATCGGTAGGTGTTAGTTCGAGCAAGATCGAGCATAACCTATATTTACTTATGGCCGAGGATCGGTAGGTGTTAGTTCTAG